CACCATCAGCAGGTGGGATTCCAGCCATTCTGCCCCCGCTCTCTGGAACTGCATCCTGAAATCTCTTCCTTTACTCCCTCCTCTCTTTTGTGGAGTCCTGTAGCTCAGTGGTTAGAGCACTCGCTTTGCAAGCGAGAGACCTGAGTTCAATTCCAGGCAGGGCGAAACCTTGGGCAAGTTTCCTTACTCCACACGCCTAATAATAATCCCTCCAAAACCAAAAACAATAATAAATTGGTCATATTCAATCTACGACTGTTTGTGGGACATTGCTGTGCGCAATTGGCTACCACGCTCGCCCACAAATATACAGTCAATTCACTTTACAGTGTGTTCTGTGAAGTGCATTGGGACGTCCTCCCGACGTGAAAAGCGCTATATCAAATGCAAGGATTATTATTATTATAGCATGTTTCAAGATGTACCTTTGACTGTGTGTGTTGTGGGCGGGGGTTGAGAGAGAAAGATGATTGAAACCATGGTCAAAGAGAGGTAAGAGCGAGGCAGAGGAATTTAGGATGAAGTTCTAGAGAAAGCTCAAACACCAATATATATAAACCCAATCATGGACTTCACCTCCACCTGCACAATCTCACGGGGGAAAGATATGCTTAAGATATTCCCTCATCCCTCAAAGGTATTCAAGTGTTCAGTCCCACATCTTCACTAGTTATCCCCAGCCTCCTTTTCCTGACAGCTTGACCTCTTATCAGCACAGACATTATTACAACTTCCAAAACACCCTGAAGCAGCAGGACAAGAAAGCACATACATCAACTCATGCTTCAGAGGGCAAAAGATACAAGAGAGATTCAGATCGAGAAAGCTCTTCATCCCATTTCACCCACAATATATACAGTCAATTCACTTGACAATATATTATGTGAAACGCTTTGAGACGTCTCAAAGACGTGATAAGGCACTATATCAAATGCAAGGATTATTATTATTATTATGTAGGTACTATGCCATGACACTAAACTAAGTGGGAGAGTAAGCTCCGAGGATGATGCAAAAAGATTGCAACGGGATATAGATAGGCTCGGGGAGTGGGCGAGTAGGTGGCAGATGGAATTTAATGTGGGGAAGTGTGAAGTTATTCACCTACGCTAGCAAAAATAGTAAAACAGATTCTTTTCTAGAGGGGTAGAGATTAGATAGTGTTAGCATTCAGAGGGATTTGGGTGTCCTTGTACACCAGTCTCCAAAAGTTAGTTTGCAGGTGCAGCAGCAACTAAGAAGGCGAACGGCATGTTCATTGTCAAAGGTTTAGAGTACAAGAGTAGGGAAGTCTTGCTGCAACTGTATAGGGCCTTGGTGAGACCGCACCGAGAGTATTGTGTGCAGTTTTGGTCTCCTTATTTAAAAAAGGACATACTTGCCCTAGAGGGGGTGCAGCGTAGATTCATTCGGTTAGTTCCTGGGATGAGGGGACTGACCTATGAGGATAGGCTGAATGAACTAGAGCTGTATTCTCTAGAGTACAGAAAAATTAGGGGAGATCTTATTGAAACATATACAATTCTTAAAGGGCTGATAAAGTAGATACTGAGGGACTGTTTCCCCTGGTAGGAGAATCTATAACCAGGGGTCACAGTCTTAAAATTAAGGGTCAGCCTCTTAGAACAGAGTTGAGGAAACATTTCTTCACTCAGAGGGTAGTGAATTTATGGAATTCACTACCCCTGAAGGCTGTAGATGCTCAGTCCTTGAATATTTTCAAGGCTGAGACTGATAGATTTTTTAAAAAATAGAGGGATTAGGGGATATGGGAATAGGACAGGTAAATAGAGTTAGGTCAGAAGATCAGCCATGATCTTATCGAATGGCGGGGCAGGCTCGAGGGGCCGAATGGCCTAGTCCTGCTGCTAATTCTTATGTTCTTATGTTCTTATGTGTGTACATGTGTGTACTATGCCTGTGTGTGTACGTGTGTACAATGCGTGTATGTGTGTGTATGCATGTACTATGCCTGTGTGTATGCATGTGTGTACTATGCTTGGGTTTATGCATGCGTGTACTGTGAATGTGTGCACTACGAATATGTGTGTATATGTGTGCTTGGTATACGTGCAGTAGAATGTTTCTTTTGCTTTATATTTGTTTTGACAAAACCTGAAGATGCTGTTTAAAGTGTTTTCTCATTTGGCACTCCCTGATTTACATCTAAAGGGATCCAGGATTCACATTTTCCGGTCATTAGTGCACATTATAAATTGAAACAGATTTCAAGGGATTTTATTGCTTTGATCTGCACGTTATAATGGTGACATGTTTATAAAATGATGTTAACACAGATGGCAGCCTTCAGAGTAATTGAATGGAAGTTTGAAAAGAGCACAGGATAAAAGTTTAATTTCCAGACAATTCAAGTGCAATAAAAATTGAAGAGACCAATAAGCAGAGTCTTGTGTCTTGTACAAACGTTAAGAGGATACAAAGGGAGCAGCAAGTGGAAATGGCATTCAAGCAGAGTGACATGATGAATCAAGACATTGGTGATAAATGATGCTTCACCAATATGTCAAGTTGTGGGCTGGTGCCTTTTATTCTTCACACATTGAGCTCCCGATCTGATTTCTTCATACATTGATTAGTGACTCTCTTCCTTTTGGGGGAAGTTAACGTGGTCTCATTTGAGTTGAACCGGCTCCATTCTCCTTTGGTCAGCCTGGTGTAAACTGAGGTCCCGTCTGCCTGTTCAGGTGCACATTAAAAATCCCATGTTAAACATCCCATGGCACTATTTGAAAAGAGAAGGGAATTTCTCCAAATGTCCTTGCCAACAATCACCGAAACAAAATTGGTCATTCACTTCATGGTGTTGTGTGGGACATTGTTGTGTGCAAATTGGCTACTACATTCTCCTACAGATATTGTCATTACACTGTACAGTAAACCATGTAAAGCACTTTTAGATGTTTCAACAAACATGCATCATCAAATGCAACAATTATTATTTATTTCCTTATTAATAAAATCTTCCTAGAAGTAGCCAGTCATTAGCCACAGTTGTACACAAATGGAACGATTTACCAAGTACACTTTTTTTTAAATTAGTCATTGCTGTAACTGAACATGAAGCTGAATTCTTTAAAACAACACATTACATTTGTATAGCATCAAGGTGCTGGATAGTCAAGTATTTGGACCTAAGCTTGTGGTTGGGATCAGGAGGGACGGAGGTTAGGCGTGGAAGGCTGACCAAAGGCATGGTCAAAGAGGGTGGTCTTGAGACGGACCTTGAAGGAGGCAAGGGAGTGTGCGAGGTGAAAGAACTGTGGGATGGAGTTCCAAAGGGAACTTAACATGACTGACACTGTTAAATGCAGCTGGAGAGGGTGCAAGCTCTCAAATGAGTCCTGAGAGGAATCTCTCACAAATTCAACTAAGACACAGACTTCCAACAAGTTTTACTCCAGAAAGAAAGAGGGTTAGGAAGGCAGCAAGTGTGCAATAAGTGGGATCAAAGAGAGTTTGTTTTGAGCTCTGATTTTAGAGATTGCACAAACACATCAAAGGCATTATTACAGTGTTTGGACATGCTGAAGTTACAGATGACTTGTTTAAAAGCACAGGTGTTGCTGACATGGAAGACATGCTGCAGATGATGACATTTAAGCTGGAGGCTGCAATTCAACCAATGAATCTTGTACCGTAAACAACAGAGGGAAGGAATGCAGGGCATTTTAGCAACTGAAGGACAATAAAAAACAGTTTGAGGAAAAATTTCCCAAATAACTCATGTTTTAAATACCCTGGTGCTATCTGAAAGAATAGGATATTGGGATTAGGGAAAATAGTTCAAGGGAATGGTAACGAGCACCAGGACAGACACAATGGGCCAAATGATCTGCTTTGTGCACTGTAAACATCCCATTATTCTATCTGAGAGACGACAGGCTGGTGTGGGGATCCCAAAGCCAGATGGGAAGTTCATGTGAAGGTCCATAATCTGTTACAACATTGTGGATTTCCTGGTAAAATCATTATAGAACTGTAGTATAAAACCAGCAACATTGTTGTAATATTGGATAAATAACGAGTATTAAATAGGGTGATCATATTTTGTGAACCGAGTCCAGGGATGCATGTAAAAAATATTAAACACCATAATTCCTGACTTTGGCAGTTACTGAACAAGCTTGATGGATTAATGGCTGTATTTCTCTGATGGGTGTATCTGTTTTAGAATTGAGTTGTTCTTGCTCAGTTTGTTGCTGAACTCAACACGGTACAAATTTGGCCCCAAGGACACCTCATCTGGCATATGGTCACCCTATCCTAGATGCACACAGAGCCAAGTCATTGCAGATTTCAATGTTATAAACCTTCTTTTGTCTTTAGGATCCAGATAACCTGACCAGGGTCAGCTATCCCTAAACAATGATTTTCACTGGCCAAAAGGTTAAGTGTGGGGTGGGGGTGGGGGTGGAGTGGGGAGTGTTTGTGTGGAATGTTCATGGTCAAGAGTTCAGTTCATCAGGCGCACATTTACAGGACAGTTACCTTGCGTGTCTTTTTTTCGGGATTTATTCTGAATTGGAATTGTGTAGTTTAGTGGTTAGAGCACTCGTCCCGCAAGCGAGAGGACCTGGATTCAATTCCCGGCTAGGCAAAATGTGGGCAAGTTTCCTTACTCCACACACCTCTTCACCTAGCAGTAAGTAGGAACCCAGTTGTTAGTCGATTGGCGGATTGCTTTTCCGGAGGTAATAATTTTTTAAAAAATAAATTAAAATTATTTGGTTACTTAATCCCAGATTGTTTGTGGGACACCGCTGTGCACAATTGGCTGCCACGTTTTGCCCACAACATATACAGTCAGTTCACTTTACAGTATATTCTGTGAAACGCTTTGAGACGTCTCAAAGACATGATAAGGCGCTATATCAAACGCAAGGATTATTATATATGTATATGTATATATATATGTTTGGTTATTGGATGTTCTGAAACCAGTGGCACTTGGAATAAATTGCACTCTCCTTCCTCCACAGGCACAGTGTGGGAGATGACCTTCAGACAAATAGGCTTTGAAAGGTGAGCGAGTTTGTTGCTGTTTGTACCATGCTGCATGATATTTCTGTGCACAGGAATTCTCATGCTGTTTGTGCGTGTGTGTTTTTGGCTTGGGTTCTGTACAAAGGCAACCACAGAAATTTTTAGAAATTTACAGCACAGAAGAAGGGCATTCGACCCATCGTGTGACAACAGTAATCTGAACTGAAGGGCAATAAAACCAGCTCAATTCAGAGTGCTGATAACGCTTAAAACAACACATATTTTCAATCCCCTGGTGTTAATTGAAAGGTCAGGGGAATGGGATTAGACCAGTAGTTCAAGGGGAGGGAAAGTGCACTAGTAAAGACACAATGGCCTGCTTTTTGCACTGTAAATATCTCATTATTCTACTTTGGAGTCTTCAGGCTGATGGGGAGATCCCAAAGCTAAATGGGAAGTTTATGTGGCCAAGTACATTTTGTTGTTCCACACACACTGGTGATCGAGTTGGGATCAGCCATACCACACATATTGGGGACCGAGCTGGAGTATTTTGAGGCCTGGCAAGTCTCAGAATCGCGTTGATGAGGTTTTATCAACTGAGCATTGGAGGAGCTTTTGTTGACAGTAGTTGTCAGGGTCATTGCGGAAACAGTTTGCTCTTGACTCTGGGTGATGTTAACCCCGCAGCAACAACTGGTGTGACCAATCACTGCAGGTTTGCCCAAGATAATCAGCAATGGAAAAGAAAACATATATTTTCTCTATAAAAATATACTTAAGAGCAATTTGAATGTTGTAATCTAATTCTGAGCTTCGGGTGATGGATGTAAATTGGTTCAGCCTCACTTTCTGTGGTTCGTGATGGCATCTGAGCACCTCGATTAGATTACAACCTCATAACTCATTTCCCTGTTATTCTTCACATATGCATGAAGGGGAGAAGGAAGCAGAGAGAACACTGCTGCTTTGGGTTTTATACCAAATGTTACAGGCTATTGATCATGGAGCATGTGTCTGGTAATTCTGAGGTGTGTAAGAGAGGGGATTAGGAGGGGTGGAGGCTCGTGTGGAGTGTTATCATTGGCACAGGCTAGTTGGGCCACAAAACCTATTTCCTTGCTGTACAGTCTATGTAATTCTCTGTAATTCCATGTGTATTTGCCCTCATGTTGTGAGTGATGGTCACTCTTGATGGACTTATACATTGTTCATTTACAGCAAGCTGAGGTAACCGAGAAGAGCCGTATCTGAGGTGCAAGAAAAAAGCAGAAATGCAGTGTGGCGTGCAATAATAATAATAAACCTTACATTTGATACAGCGCCTTATTACATCATTGAGATTCTCAGCATATTTCCAGATTACATGTAGAAATTTGAGAAAACATAAGTGGCGTAAAATTCCACTATTAAATCTTAATGTAATACCAGGCTTGAAATTTACAATGGGTCAAATTCTTCAATTCAGTCCTAATTTTCAGTCAAGTCAGTCCTATTTTTTCAGTCCTAAGTCCTAATTTTCCACAGTTCTTAACTAGAATCAGCTTGCAAATTGAGACTGAATTGAAGACATTCAGCAGTTCTGGGTGATGTTAAAGTTCTCAAGACTAAATAGTCCTAAAGGCTAAGACTGGGTGGGAGTTTGTGAGGAATGGCATAAGAGGAGCTGTGACTCAAGACTTCAAAAGGAACTTATCAAGTCTGGGAGGGGAGGGGGATCTGATAAATTGAGCACCTCACGATTTCTGCTAGATAATAGGGTCGTATTTGGAATAATTCCTAAAAAGATTCCTCCATAAGGAATTCCATTAGAATTTCCAGCATCCCACAGGAACTCTGCTTCGGAAACAGATAATAATAATTCTTGCATTTGATATAGCACCTTATCACGTCGTTGAAATGTCTCAAAACACTTCACGGAATATATTGTGCGTGATACACACATACAACACACATACATACTCTTGCTTAAGTTACAACATTTTGCTGTATTCTTCGGTCATGGGTTACATGAGTCATTTCAAGCTCTCAGTCAAGTAATTTGGGGCTTTAGAAGTGAAGAACCCACATCTCAAATGGGACAATTTGGGATTAATGTTTTACTCTTGCAGTGGTGCTGGTGTAGATGCCTGTGATTACCTTGCGATCACATTATCATTTCCTCCGAGGAAGTCTCACTTTACAACAAAATGCAGACTGGCCAGATTCAGCATTTAGTGTGCCCGTAATGTGGTGTATTGTCAACAAAATACAGTCAAATCTGTTCAAGCAACCACCTTCATTCAGCCACCCCTGTTAACAACCATCCTGGAACAGTCCTTTCAGTGTGTTTATCCCTCCCCCCCACCACCCAATACAATTAGAAAAATAATTCTGGAAAGAAAAAATCTATGATTGCTTGTGGTAAGATACAGTGGCCACCAGTAAATCAAACCCTTTTATAACACCAGTGCTCTTAAAATTTCTGTTGCAAGGTAGTATGGTATTTTGTTCTACACTTTTAACTGTGTCAGCCTGGCTCAGTTGGTAGCACTCTTGCCTCTGAATATTTTGGGTTGAAGCCCAACTTCGATTTAAACTGATACTTCAGTACAGTGCTGAGGGAACGGTACATTTTTGGTAGTTGCCATCCTTTGATAAGACGTTAAACTGAGAGAAGGTACTTACATGTCAAATAGACTCCAGACAAAAATCCCACTGTATTCTGGAAAATAATGCCCCAAAATTTTATTCAAGGGAATTATCTGCAACTCCAGAGTAAGCAAATTGTGTTCAAATCAATTCTGTGCTGCAGGGTTGTGAAAAAAAATGGGATATTTTGTAAAAAAAACATAAAAGACAGCAATGCTAAAATGTGTCCTTTTTTAGCTGTGGATATAGAGGGTGACCGATTCCAAGCACTTGAAATGTTAAATGTCAAGCATGGTTATAAATCACCGTGGGTTTTGGCCAGCAGTTGTTGGGGTGAAATGCAGCCCTGCAATTATGCTCTGAACATAGGAAATATTAGCTATGGGAAGAGGAACAGGACAAATCACAGAAATAATTGTTGGTAACACTTCAGAGTAGAACGCAAAAGGATACCGAGGCAACAATGCAACAATTTCCTGGCTGCGGGAGACTTTTTTTACTGTTCCATCTGCTGTGCTTGCTTGAGTTTTAATTGTCAAACTCTGTAAGCGATCGGGAGGGAGGGACTAATATTATAGCATTTGTTCATTGCCAAGATTACTTTGCCGGTTAGAATTTCAATACCTTAATCTAGCCGGTGTGTGAACTCTGAATGGCTGCATAATAAACCATCGAATAAATTCTTTATGCCACATGGTTAGTCTATTTATGTTGCACAGTAGTATTCTGCAATGATCTTTAAACCTTTTAATGCCTTTTAATTGTACACTTATTTTAAGTGAACTTGGCTCCATATGGATGAATACTTTCATTCACTGTTTTGCTTGAATTACATAGCCACCATGTTAACCTTGTGTTAATAATAAAAAATAGTAGAGCCATAGAAATTTACAGCACAGAAGAATGCCATTCAGCCCATTGTGTGTGTTCTGGCTCTTTGTAAGAGTGATCCAGGCAAAACACTGTACATTACACTGTAAAATGAGTCCAAGAGGTAAGCCCACCTTTACCCCAACCCCATATTGCCTGCAGATATATATTTAGATAACAACAATAACAACTTGCATTTATATAGCGCCCTCATGCAGGGGAGTGTCCCAGAGGGCTTGACAGTGACGGAGCACAACAATATTGTGGTTCCAGCCCCATGTCAGTGCTGGGAGAGCAATGCATCAGTGGAGGTGCCGCTCTTCAGATGAGACATTAAACCAAGGTCCTATCTGCCTGTTCAGATGCACGTTAAAGATCTCATGGCACTATTTGAAAGAGAAGGATGTCTCGTCCGATGTCCTGGCCAACAGTCCACCAGTTAAAATTGGCCATTCACTTCATCACTGTCTACAAATTAGGTTTCACGTTCGCCCACAAGAGACACAGTCATCACACTTTACACTATATCCTGTGAAGTGCTTTGAAAGTTTCTCCTGGTGCCCTGACCGACAACATTTTGAGATATTGAATACTTAAATAAGATCTCCCCTAAGCCTCTCTTCCTTATTTCAAATACTCCCAGCTTCCATAGCCTTTTGTTTCCTAGGTGCCCAGTCCCAGCTATCAATCTGGTTGCCTTTTGCTATATCACCTCCAATGCTGATGTTCCTGACCGGAAACAGTGAAATTGTTGTGATTAACTTTTGCTGGAAAGCTTTTATTTTAACTGAAATGGAAGGCACTGGGAAATGATTGCCATTATTATTAATAATAAATATTACTATTATTATGCATAATAATCCTTGCATTTGATAAAGTGCTTTATCACATCGTTGAGATAACACACAACAACAACAAAATATATTTGTATAGCGCCTTGCACATCAGGAGGAGGTCCTGAAGCACTGGAATGTCTCAAAGCTCTTGACAGGATTTCTTACTTTGTCCCTGTATGTGGAGGCTACAGTTTTGATTGATTGATCGTTTCAGTGTGCGGTTGTTGACTTTCCATTAAAATGCTCCATGTTCAGATGAGGTGATGGAAATACAGACACTTCATCGGGAGGTTACATTTATTAAATCACAGCTAAAAATATAACACATAGCATATTGCAGAAGACTAATGCTTATAGCTGATTATGGATATCTCTTCACTTCAATATATGTGAGCAATGAACTACAAAAATAATATAATAATAATCCTCATATTTGATACAGCGCTTTTCACACGGGGAAGTCATCTCAAAGCACTTGACAGGATTTAATGTATAATGATTGTATAGTTGACCGAGCTACTTTTACCCACTCCTCCCCCCCCTTTGCTCAGCTGGTTCTAGCCTTCTACATCGTCCTTCACCACCGGTGGCCTTGCTTTCAGTCACTACCCCCGAACCTCTGCAAATCTTTGCCTGAATCCCTTCAGTTTGCCCCTTCCCTGCCCAACTTCAGATCACACCTGAAGACCTTCCTCTTTGACA